TAGAGATCAGAGAGCCAAGGAGGAAACAACCGAAAAGACTGGAATGTCCAGCAGAGCAGGCGAAAACCATGGGAGAGTCTACCACTCCTTGAAGTCAAGTGAAAAATACATATAACACAGGGGCTGATCAGTTTTGTCAAAAGAAACTGATTGTTCAAAAGTAATTTAAGACTAAGAATTGACTACTAGATTTAACAAGAACAGTCTCAGTGGAGTGTTGGGGATAAAAGCTTATTGAGGTGGGCTCCAGGGAAATGGGAAGTGAGGATCTGGAGACAGATTAAAGATATCTCCTGAGTTTTTCTACGAAGAAAAGAAATAAGTCAGTAGCTGGTGGGAGTGAGAATGAGATTCCAGAGAGTGAGGGACACTGAAATGTTAACAGGATCAAGAAATTCTTCTATAGAGGTGGAAGGACTGCTAGGTTATAACTAGAAAAGGCATGCTGGAGATGTAATGATTCTCAACTGTATGTTTTAAATCCACATCTCTCATGAGTTCCTTTAAGGGAAAAAAAAATAATTCTTTCCATGAGCAAGAGAGAGAGAAAGAGAGAGAGAGGGAGCGAGAGACTACTCCCCTAACAGAGTCCCTATGCCATTCAGCCCCAGATCACAGACACATAGATAGATGCCCAGAATAGTCAGGGAGGTCTCTGGATGCAAATCCAGAACCTTCCTATATGGGTCATTGGCCTCACAAGAGATGCATTTTATTGCTGGCCCACTGCCAATCTCCTCTCATGAGTTCTTAAACCAAAATATATTCAGCAGCCTGCTAGACACCCAGAAATGGATACACATAGGCACCTTGGACGAATCACATTAAACTGAGTATATCATTCCTCCCCAAACCTTTTCCGTCTTCTCAATGTATTTCCCACTTGATTCTGCCTTAGCCAGAAACCCAGGAGACTTCCTTGACTTTGCATCTCACTAACCTCCAGCAACCCTCACAGTCTCATACCCAATCCCTGTGAATTCAACCATCTTATTATCTCTCTGCAGTCCATTTACTTACCTCGGCCCCACAGTGACTCTTCCCTATGTCTAATACACAGTTTCCTAACTTTGGGTCTTCCCATCTATTTTTCCATAAGGTCGCCAAAGTGACTTCCAAACTGAGCATAGATCTGCTACTTAAAATCCTATAAAGGCTTATCATAGTCTTTAAAATAGAGGCCAAGCTCCTGAGATAGCATAAATGTTTCTGTATGACCTGGCCCCTCCTCTACCACCCTAATTTAAGTGTATTTTCTGAAATCCCAAATCATCTCATGCATGCCTACGTATAACAGCATTTTTTTTCATATATTTTAATTTTGTATCGTTAGTATCTTCAACCAGAATTGATTATTCCAAAGGATCTCTGGATTCCTATCATACTCAAATTTGACATCTAGTGCCAGGCACGATTTGCTACAAAGTAAGCAATAAATACATAAACAAATAAATCAATAGTGGGAAAATGCCAGAAAATTTTAACTTAAAAATTGGACTACTGAGACAGCCCCACGACACAGCAGTTAGGGGCTATGCAGAAAAAACTGATCCCATGTGGTGA